TACCCAGGTATTAGCACATGTTTCCGGATAATACTATTAAGGAATGAAAGTGAAAGAAGCAGGCTTTGAAGAAGTGCTAGATTCTTGTGACAGCAGATGACCTCAAATGTCTAAACCTCAAAGGGAGCTTTAATTAAACGAGGTTTGTTTTAAGCAATACCATTAAGGAACAAAAAAGATCCAATCAACTGGAAAAGGTCCAAATGTTGCCTCACTTCGAAAAAGGCGTAATTCACTAAATGGGATAGAAACAATAAAAAAGAAGAAAATCATTTCTCTCTAAAAAAATTACTATAAAGTCATGGGGGGGGGGGCACTTACATTTAACTCTATTATCCACAGTAAGGTTACAAATAAGAGGTCAAAGGTGACAAACAAACAGAACGTCCTCCTAACGTCGGATATGCCCTTCTTTCCCCTTCCTTCGTAGGATTCGATCCGGGCCATGAGCTGAGTGGGGTTGATGGAATGGACTTCCCTTAGCGAGGCCTGAGAGCTCTGGCTCCCACTGAGAGCGTTGTCCATTTCGTCTCGGAGGGGGTTCATCCTGGAGGAGGGTTAAAGGAGACTTGGCCTGACTTCACCATCCCTAGAGAGAAGAGACCTTGGGGGGAGAGGAAACAAACAAACAAAGATACATTCAGGTAAACCAGAGGTCAATTAAGGTGATTGCACAGGAAAGGTGTGCATCGGGGTTGCATCCTTTTATCATCTTACTCAATCTTTAACTAGCAAATAATCTAAGAAACCTGGCTATCTGAAGCAGAACGTGGCCCTGGGGTAGGAGGAAGGTGCACTCACAACCTGCAATATGCAGGTGGCATAATCCTGAGGTACGTCCCTATGAAGACCCCAGTGGGATTTCAATCCGGTGGGAAAAAAACAAAACATCTCACAACTGGGCCAGGAGTCAACATCATGGATCAGTGGAGGAAAGATGACTGCTTCACCAATGTTATTTTACTTGGATCCACAATCAAGTCATAAATCAATCAATAAACCAAAAGGCTTGCATTGGACAACTCTGCTGCAAAAGTCTTTAGAGCATAAAGGTATCTCTTTGAGGGCTAAAATGCGTGTGTCCCAGCCAAGGTATTTGCAATCACTTCAGACACCTGCGGAAGCCGAACAATGAGTACGAAGGGCAGGAGAAGAATAGATGCGTTTGAATGATCGTTCTGGCAGAGCAGGCTGAGAACTCCGAACTGCCAGGTGAACACATAAACCTGTCTTGGAGGAAGAACAGCCGGATTGCTTCTTGGAAGTGAGGATGGCAAGACGACTTTGCTTCATGATTATGGACATGTCATTAGCAGAGGCCAATCCTGGGAAAATAGCATCATACCTGGCAAACGAGAGGACCATTAAAAAAGAGGAAGACCCTCAAGGAGATGACCCGACACTGTGGCTGCAACAATGGGCTCCAACATCACGACAATGGGGAGCGTGGACCCAGCCCGGCCGGGTTTCACTCTGTGCCCGCAGGCTGCTCTGAGTTGGTACAGATTCCATGATACGGCCGAAACGGACATGATTGAAGGGGAGATTGACAAGGCCATCCCCAAACTGCAGACTATAGAAAGGGGTGGGTCCAGGTACCTTTCACAGGAAGTCCACAAAACAGTCCGAAAAGCTGAGATGAATTCTACTCAATCGATCCCGCATTATCGAGAAGAACTCCCAAGTTCAGTTTCTGAAGCAGACATAACTCTGACCAAAGCCATAAAAAGTAACCGCTAAAAGAGAAAATTATAGCCCCCAATCCTTGTGAAAACAGTGGGAAATCGTCTCCTCTTGCATGTAGCTGGAGGAGGTCGGATACGGCTCCCAGGCTGAAATAAGTGGGGAAGAGATAGCGCCTAAAAATAGGAAGGGCATGGCCGAGGAGGGGGGTGGAGGGTGCGGGGGGGATTGGGGCGCTAACAGCAATGAAAATGAGAAGAAAATATGCTGAAATTCACTGTGGTGATGGTTGCACAAGTCTTTTGAATGATTACACTACATTTGAATTATAGGCCATCAAACTATTTTTGAAATTCACCCAAAGAGTAAAAGGCGACTCCATAGACTACTTTAAAAAAAGAAGATGGCATATTAAACAAGGGACTAATCTCTAAAATTCCCACTCCAACACCTCAAGAAGGAAACAGACAATGCAATTAAAAGTGGATAGGGCTCATGAACAGACACTTCACCAAGAAGCTACTCAAGTGGCCAACAAGCACAAGAAACGCTTGCGACCATTAGTCATCCTCTCACTGCCACCAGGTCAGTTCTGACTCAAAGTGACTTGTCCCTGTGGGCTTCTGAAACCATTACCTGTTCTGGGAGTAGAAAGCCTGTCTTCCTCCCATTGAGCAATTGGTAGTTTCAAACTGCAGTCCTGTGGATTGCAGCCCAACTCTTAACGACGACGATACGACGATGGGACACCATCTCTCCGCAGCATGGATAGAAAAGTTTTGAAAAGCAGAAAACAACAAATGATGGTGATAAGGAATCCCGAGGCTATCTCCAGTGTACCTCTCCCAAGCTCCCGTGGAACGGTCTGTCTACTTGTCTACTTGTCTGCTTGTCCTACGAGCTAGGGCACTCCTGGAGGGCCGCGTGGAGAATGCTACGGCGCTTGCTTTAAAAGTAGGAAACAGAAATACTAGAAGGCCCAGCAATCACACTATTCAGTACGTATCTTAGAGAAACGGGAGCCACGCCACAAACAGATGCATGCGCACCCATGTTCATCACAGCACTATCCACAGCAGCAAAAAGACAGTAGGAACCTAAGAAAACCATCAATGGACACATGAATAAACAAATTATAGGAAATATACAGAAGGGGATACTATGCAAAGTTAAAGAATACCCCAAACCATGAACGAAGCTGGAGAATATTATGCTGGGTTAAACTAGCCACAAGAAAATAAATATTATACGCAGGCCACTACTGCAAAAAGTCAAGAAAAGGTTGACTCACAAGAAGAAACAGTCTTTGATAGTTACCAGGGTAAGACGGGAGGGCACATCGCTACCTAGAGGGTAGACACATTAAAACTTGCACGAATGGGAACGAGGAGGCAGTGAAAAATGATCAAGAGAAATGAAGGCATTAGGAGAAGTACAAGGGTGAAAGGCTAGATGAGTAAATACTATTCTATACCCAGTCTTTCAACTACAAATTCTATGAATGGACGCATGGATAGGTACTCAAGCTGAACAGGCAGAGGAAGGAGAAGAGTAGATAGACATTTGACAGAGGATAATTCTGCACAGGTATCTACCTATCCTGCAACTATGCCCATGACTGTTACAGTAGAACATGCAGAGGGTGGGGTTCTGTAACCGTCTCAGCTGCAGCCAAGCGAGTTGCTGGACTGAAGGATATCACCAAGTGGAACAGCTTGATGCTGACCAAGTTGATCTCTCTCTCTCTCTCTCTCTCTCAAGGAGAGATGTTAATGTTTACAGAAAAGAATAATTTCTAAGGCCTCTTGTTACACGATGATTCTTTGAATTCAGCCTATGTTCTTCTGAATGATCTGTACACTGTGAATTCCTGCAGGAAGGCTCCTCAGAAATGCTCTCCCCAGGCCAGGCCATGTGCATCTCCTTCCCAGCTCCAAAGGACAAACGTCTCAGGGGACCCTAAGGTCCACTGGCACAGTGCAGCCTACTTTGGCGAGTACTGATGCCACTCTGGAAGTGGCCATCTGCAGGACAGCAAAGAACAAAGAAAATCAAAGACATTTGGAAACAAGGTAACTAGATCATTTCGCACCCTCTCATCCCTCCTTTCACGAACTCCATTACTTGGGAATGCAAAAGGACAACAAAAGTATCTAGATATTTTTGGTAAAATATTTAATAAGTGACATTTATGCAACGGCGTGTACAATCATGACTTTGGAAATGAGAATCATTAAATTATTTGTCATATGTGCATGTATGTATGCATGGATAACTGTTAATTAGCTAGACTCTTAAGGCACATAACATAGTTTCAATACGAAATTTTGAAACACAGATTATACTGAGCAGCTCGATGCTCTCTCAAGAACAGATGTTAATATTTAAAAAAAAAAATTCTTAAGGCCTTTTTCTACACAATGATTCTTTGAATTCGGCCTATGTTCTTCTGCATGAGTCTGTACACTGTCAATTCCTACAGGAAGGCTCCAGGAAACCCACTCCCCAGGCAGGCCATGTGCATCTCCTCCCAAGCTCCCAGAGAACTGTGGATCTGCCCCTCAGGGTACTGCTTACCACTCTGCGCTATAATCATCCATCTATTGGCCTGCCTCCCCCATGAGCTGGTGTACTCCTTGCCAGCCATGAATTTGTTTTACACACCTCCATATCTCTAGGAATTAGCATGCTACAGGGCACACAGTGGGAACAAAACAAATGTGAATGGAAAAACATCCTCACTTGTATTTAGCACACAGATTAGAGCAGAGTAGAATCACAAAAATCAACGCTGAACTGCAAAAAACCACAGGTGCTCATTTCTTAGGAATAGCTTAACTATGTTCCCAAATGTCATTTCAGAAGTATTAAACTATCCAATCCACGGTTTTGAGATCCTCTCTGGGGTTGGCTTAAATAAAGCTATGCTTCTGTAAAAAGGTGTCAAGTACTGATAAGTTGCACACACGAGAACACACTCTAAAATCTCGAATTTATTCTAGCCACTGGGGAAACATAGTAGGAAGATGGAAAATTGTAAAACAGAGATATACCTGCTTATCATTTCCTGGGCTCTGTGTGAAGAGATGAGTCGGAAGCAGGCATCGGCTGTCATGCAGCCCACAGATTTGGGGCTTGCCAGCCTCTGTAACTGCCCCAGCCATGTCCTTGAGCACATGTGTCTCTGTGTCTGTACACACAAAACACAATCTTCACTGGTTTTGCTTCTCTGGAGCCTACGACAACGTCACACCAGGACTAGAGAGTTGCATCATCTCAACAGATACATATGGTCCACAAAGACTGAAATATGAATATATGTATATAACCTGACATTTTAAAACACCACGCCAGTGTGATAACGTGGCACCATGACCAAATGCTTGAAAGATAAACAAACATGGGGAAAAGAACTCCATCTCTTAAAAAGTCCTGACTTACTGGCCCAGTTGAGACTAAAGGATTCCCGTAGACCACTGCCCTGAGATACTCGTACATTTGTTGAGCCATAACAATCCCCTGAAGTCACCTTTTAGCTAAATCACAGATTGACTCATCAAAATAAAAAATATCACTTGAATATGGATTTTTCCTTTTAAAAATCATCTATGGGGTGAGCCAGCCACACCTAAGAAAGCCTGGATATTCTACAAGGTTAACACTTGTCAAAATCACACTGCTTTTTCAAAATTGTTTAAAGTTAAACTATTCTACTTAATGTTTGCTGTAATGAGGCCACCTATGTTTTTGAAACATCTCAACGTGGGTTTGTAGGTTTTAGATAAGACGTTCTTGAAAGAAGTGTGATTCATAGCCCTGTGCAGCCGCTGCTACGCGGTGTGTCAATTTCACCTCAGAAGGTCAGTGACGTGGCGGAAACCTGACACAAGTGACTTTACAAGAGGCTGAACCAGTTGTGCA